AGAGCAGACTCCCCTGTACCCAGCTGTGTTTCCATGAAGAGTGACAGGTCAATAGGAAATCCGCCCGACTTCAGAGAGGGACCTTTTCCTACAGATCAAAGGTAAATGTGCATTTAAACAAACACTGTTTATAACACTCCGACTCTCAGTCAAATGACCCAGAAACACATACAAGTTATAAGGAAAAAACACTTATAATAAATGCATCAATTTTTACCTTTAACAGATTCCATCACCTCTGAGAATTTAAACACAAGTCTGTTCTGTATTCGATATAAATAACCTCTGATGTAAATGGATGAGGATTACTGTCAAACATGACTTCCTGCGAGCTGGAATTGGAAGTTATTCAATTTAAAGTACATTTTACATTTCCATCCTCAGCACAGAGCCAGAAAAAAACTGTTTTGCCTATTCCCTCCTGCCTGTCCATTAAAGAATGACTCGACAATAGATTGCCCTCTTGTGAGACGGATGTTACTATTTTGAAAATAAATGCATTCTTATGGACTCATTACATCCTGCTCACACTAAGGCTTCAGGTTTAACATGCTTAATGGAACCGTGCCACTTAAAAATTAACTAGAATCATCAGACAAAGAAAAAAAACTATTGGTTTCTTTGCCAAAGGTGACATTTAAATGTTTGCTGATTCAGATTATAGTAAATGTGACACTGCAGTGGTTCTCATCCCCGGAGTATAAAATAAAATGATTTGTTGATCCCAGGGGCAAATTCTTTTGTGTACAGCAGCAAAGTGCACAGACTCAAACATACAATGTAAAACAAAGACAATGTGCAAAGACAGCACATATATTGCAAATAAGTAATCATTTTTAGAAGTATACAAAATTTCTGTAGGATATCAAGTTGAAGAAGTGCAGAGTATACACGGGAAAAATACTTTAAATACAATATTGTTCAAGAAATACACAGAAATAGAAATGGACGTTATTTATGTGATTAAAAACAGAGAGCAGGTTTTACCACATTAAAAATGGGACGTTAAGGCTGGCTGTGGGGGCTGCACATCGACAGCAGGCATTGTGGTGTCTAAGGGCAGCAGGCAGGAAAGATCCCCAGTAGCACTTCTTAGCTCATGGTGGGGGAATGAGCCGGTGACTGAAGGTGCTCCAAGATAGCGCCCCCTGGAGCCTTGGCTGGGTTATGGACCGGGCCAGTGGGGCCAGTGCCCCTGGACCTCGGAGCACCAGTAGCTGTGAGTCGCAACATTTATAGTGCAGGATATGAAATGCGCCCCCTTGTGGAGTGTAAGAGAAAGAGCACTGAGAGGTAACAGTGTTACAGCCACTAGCATGCATGTCTCTCTGGGTCTATAGTCAGGCCATAACATAAAGTAAACTGGGCTCCTAGCTAGGGCTGGCTGAGTGGGCAGCACTGTCATATGTGTAGCTTAATAAAAAGACCTCACCATCTTCTTTCTTCTCCTTTTTCTTACTCAATCAGCCAATTATTTTATATTATTTTATACTCTTGTCCAGTATCGCCACAAAAACAAACAAACAAACAAACAAATATATAAACAAGAAAAAAACTACCCTCTCCTTGGATTGCCACCTTATCGTGGTGGAGGGGCTTGCGTGCCTCAGTGAACCTGGGGGCTATGTTGTCGGGGGCAATAGCCCCTGGTAGGGTCTCCCAAGGCAAAAAGGTCCAGACAAAGAGCAATCCAAAAAGAACCCTATGATAAGGCATTCAAACATTCAAAGTCCCGTTTCCCTCGCCCGGACTAGGGTCACCGGGGCCCCACCCTGGAGCCAGGCCTGGGGGAGGGGCCCGTTGGCGAGCGCCTGGAGGCCGGGCCTTGGCCCATGGGGCCCGGCCAGGCATAGCCTGAAAGTTTACATTTGTTTACAAAGTTTACCACCACCCGCAAGGGGAATGTCAGGGGTTCGGTGCATTGTGTATCGGGTGGCGGCCCAGGGAGGGCCTGGCGGTCCGATCCCCGGCTGACAAAACTGGCTCTCGGGACATGGAATGTCACCTCTCTGGTGGGGAAGGAGCCTGAGCTTGTGCGTGAGGTTGAGAAATACTGGCTAGATATAGTCGGGCTCACCTCAACACATAGCGTGGGTTCTGGAACCAATCTCCTGGAGAGGGGCTGGACGCTCTTTTCTTCTGGAGTTGTGGCAGGTGAGCGACGCCGGGCAAGGGTGGGGCTACTGGTGGCCCCACAGCTCGGTGCATTAACAACGGAGTTTACCCCGGTGAACGAGAGGGTTATCTGCCTGCGTCTTCGGGTCTGGGATAGGTCTCTGACTGTCATCTGCGCTTATGATCTTGCTGGGAGACTTCAACGCTCACGTGGGCAATGACAGTGTGACCTGGAAGGGGGTTGATTGGGAGGAACGGCCTCCCAGATCTGAACCCGAGTGGTGTTCTGTTATTGGACTTCTGTGCAATGCATGGTTTGTCCATGACGAACACCATGTTCGAGCATAAGGGTGTCCATAAGTGGACATGGCACGAACATGCCCGGGGCTACAGGTCGATGATCGATTTCATAATCGTATCATCT